AGTATCTTAATGTTTAAGATACTGTAATGGAGTATACATTAAGAATGTACCCAACAATCTCAGAAAAATGACTAACATCAGGTTAAGATGATGATAAAGATACAGGTTGGTGGTTTTTCTCCATTTCATACACAGTGGTGATGTAAAATTAACATATTTTAATATTTTTTTCAAATAAGTAACACTGATGTCAAACCTTAGAGTAAATTAAAATATGTAAACATTTTAAAAATCCCTACCCTTTTAGACCATGTTAGAACTTGTACATATGAATGAGATAGTGGAAAATTTACACCAATCAAAGAAAACAAACCTGATACGTTTTATCAGTACGTCAGATCACAGGTCTTTCGACAAACACTTTCCACTAACTAACAAACGCATACATACAATCCATTATCTTCCACTGAGTAAACATAAACTGGACCTGCACACACCTACACACATGCCTGCACACAGACGCACTTTAAAAAACAAACATTTGTACTCTTTGAACAGAAACAACAAAGCAAAGACGGGAGCTGGCCCAGACAGAGTGGCCGCGAGTGTGTTGGCCTGCGTCTGGGCAGACTTTGACTCCCCTTGTGGCCTGGATCAGAGGAGTGAAGCCAAGCAGAATCTCTGTCCTCTGTCAGACGGATGAAACCACTTATCAAATTAGCAGACTTCCCTTTCTGGCTTTACAACACACATGTGGACACACAATGCAAACACATACTGTAAAAGCACACATAGAACCATGTGCACAAGTACACGCATACAAAAAAAGCGGCATGGGGTGGTAAAAGGCCAGGACATGAGAGACCAGCGGGGCTAGAAACATGTAGAGGCTGGAGAGAGAAAGAGTGCGAGAAAAGGGGGGAGTGAGAAAGAAGAGTAGAGCACAAGGGAGGTGACAGGAGAGGAGAGAGGAGGATGATGACATGGGGAGAGGGAAAAGCTGAGAGGAGAAGATGGTCAGGAGGTATAAGGAAAGAGAGCATGGACGAAGGGGAAGACATGGGGGCAGGTGGGGAGGAGAGGTTGCAACCCTGTGGAGAGACTGGCCGCTGGGCAGATTAGCGTAACACCAAAATCTAGTCTGAAGAAGGGGGGCGGAAGGGGAGAGGAGCAGGACTAAGGGGGAATTGCCTGTGGTACGCATCCCTTTTACAGGGGTCACCACCGGTACACAGCAACTAAAATGTACAGACGCACACTTACATGCATAAACTCACACACAATGCTTTCCCCCTATAAATTTCTTTTTTTTTTCACCAACAAGCAAACCTATATACAGTATATACACATACACACGCAGGCATCCATGGACATTTAAAATAAACATGGCCATGATCGCATTATGTGACATCAGTCCTAATTAAATATTTATACGAAGGAAAATCCACACAATCATGCATGCTAGACATGTGTGTATGTGTGTGTCCACACCGCCTTCATCCCATTGTCCAGAGAATCACATCAGGGAATAACCAGACACATGAGGATCAAATTGATTAAGGCTGGAGTTCTTAGCAGTAATACTGAGGATTAAGACAGCTAATAAATGTTTCATTCAAAGCCAGACGTAGATCAAACGTGAGAAAGGCCCCTAGCTCGCTCTCTGGGGTTAGTGTGATTCTGCTCTTTCCTCTCCTCTTCCTCCTCCTCGTCGTTTTCCTTCTCCCCCGCCTCCCTCAGCTGTTGGTTTTTAGCTGTATTATGACAGCCACTACAGATCGTCTCACTAGCAACTACAGGCCCTGCCCTTGTGCCTACACATCATTAGCTCTCCATCTGTCAGCTTCCTAACAGGTTCCCACTAATGCAGCCAAGGACTCACTTCATTGCATTCCTATCCAACAGGCAGCAGCAGGTTACGCTCAATGCAGAGCCTCTCTTTTCGTTGACTTTTACTCCCTCACTTCTTCTCATCTGATCCTGCATTCTCCTCCTTACTTCATCCCTCTCCTCTTACATCCTCTTTGCCTATCCTCACCCATTCTCTCTTGTCTACTCATCCACTCTTAACCTTTCCACTCCACTCCACTCCTCTCATTCCCCTCTTGATTCTTCTACTCCCGACTTGTTCCCTAAAGTATCTGGCAAGATTCAGGGCTGGTGCCAATGGTCAACAGGGGATTAGCAAGGATGGAGGTTGGAGAATGTGTGAAAACCAGTTAAGTCACACACTCTGCCGTACAGATAACCCACACATGTGCACAAACCAAAGCAGCCAGGCACGAACTGCATCTGGCATCACATGTTTATCACTCAGCACGCATGGTCCAGACTCTCTCTACTGACTGAGGGTGTACTCACAACTGAGTGCAATATAGGCACAGAAAATGTATAAATACTGTATGTGTTGCACCTAAAGTGATGTGCAGGCTTAAAATAAAAGTAAAAATAAAATAAATTACACTGAAATATATGTCACAAGAAAGCACAAAAAGATGTAGTGGCTAATGGCAGCGACGGTGACACTGGTCCTGGCAAATGGGCTTTGTGGCTATGTGTGTAACTCTATCTGTAGAGGGGGAATACAGCAGTGGTTGGGTAATGGAAAGGTCATTTAGCCAATCCCCCAGGTAGGGGGGCTGGTCTGACACGGCTCGTTTGTCACAGTTCAATAACTGCCACTCCAGGGAGTGTGAGGTAGAGAGAGAAAACGAGTGAGAGAGGGGTAGGAAACTTAAGTGTGTGTGTGTGTGTGCTGCAACCCTGGCGTGTGATAGTGTGCACAAACCCTGGCAGCACAGCTGATTCCCAGAGCTTGTCCCTCCATTAGAGGCCTCAAACGGGGTCACTGCGAAGGCCAAGCACCACGGACTCAGTCATCTAGACGTGAAAACTCGTAAGCCTTGGCCTGGGAGGATTATCTTCGCTCTAACTGGTTGATGTTTGGTTTTCCAAGTGGGAAAACTGAACTCTTACTCCCCCTTGAACCTAAAAATGGCCACTCTAGTAGGATGGCTATAATCCAAGGCTTTTGATCAAGCAGCCAATAGAGAAGTAGTAACATTAATAACATTTACCTGAATTACATTTACCTATTTTCTGTATAAACTTATGTGGTAGTTGCATTCATACACTAATGCTATTTTAAATTATTAATGTATTTGAAATATTTCTTATTGAACCATTAAAGGTCCAGTGTGTAATATCCAGGAGAAATGGAATATAATATGCATAACTTTGTTTTTATTTGTGTATAATTACCTCAAAATAGGAATAGTTTTGTTACCTTAAAATGAGCCTTATCTAAGATGCGGGTCACCTTCCATGGAGGCCGCAACAAACACTGGCTCTAGGTAGGGCTGTTGATGTTTTTGCGCATTTCGAGGCCACCACAGTTTCTCCTTTGTGCTTGGAAGGGGAGGGTAAAGTGAGGGAGCTACAATCTGCAATTGCACTGCTAGATGCCCCAAAATCCTATACACTGGACCAATAAATCACTACTTCACAAAAATCGGCATAAAGGATACTCTATATACAGTATATTGATGTCCAATGAAAACCACAGACTTAACACTTTGTGTGTTGATAAAATTAACATACTACTTAAGCTAAATAAACAAAAACCAATTGGATTATCTGAAAATATACTATCACACAGATGAAAACAGATCTGTTTTTATTAAGAACCAGTGCAGAAGGGAGAAACTAAGGTGGCTGCGAAACGCATTGAAAAACATGAAACAGCTCTATCTAGAGCCAGTGTTTGGTTTGTCCGTTCTGGGCTACTGTAGAAACTTGGTGGTTTAACATGGCACACTTTACTCGAAAGTTCTTATTTTCAGGTGATTATACACTAATGAAAACATACCTATATATATTATATTTCATTTCTGCAAATAGACCCTCCTAAACATTACTCACTGACCTTTAATTCATAAAAAGTTGAAAAATGGTTTTCACAGAACAGTGACAGTGAAAATAAGATTTATCTGTATAATCACTAAATAAATGTAACATTTGTATGGTCAAAGTGCTTCTCAGTTAAAAAAAACCCAACAACTCAGAAATATAAAAGAAATAAAAATAGTAAAATACTAAGCTCCATTATTCTCTGTTGGTATTGATTTGTACTGTCCCTTTAACATGTCGTTAGGTGTGTGACAGAATGATCCCCCAGCTTTGTGAGAGATTTTCACACATCTCATTGAGCGACTGGTGAGAGACACCACAGTCTGTCCTTCTCCTCACTTTGAAAATCAATAATAAGCTTCTATGTGTTCATTCACGTGTCTCCATGTCTTCCCGGAGAGATGCCCGAGGCACAGATTTGTATTCATCTCAACTGGATTGAAAGATCTGGGATTTTATCTCCGACCCCCTGTGGAGATTTAAGAACTACTGACTCAATGCAATGTGAGGGTTTGATCCCATGTAGTACTTAAAAACTGGGTTTGTTTGAGATGTTTTAGAAAGGTCTGTGTCTCCCCCTTGTGGTCATCATAGAAATGTACACCAATTGAATCACAACGTCTGTGTGCAACAACCAAGCTACAAAAATAGTGTGAAAAATGTGCTTTACATAACTGACTTTGAGGTGCAGTAAATATAAAGCGATAACACCACATTTACAATACAGTACATGCTTTACTAAGATTCGCACTGATTTAATTAAAATGGATTTCTAATGTGTTAAAATTTTGGTAAAGTTTTAAAATAATTTGAAAAAGAGGGTAGCAGGCCAGGAACTAGTTAAAACCGCTGTGAGGAAACCATACTGTATGCCTGTTTGAGCTTGTTCATTCTGAATGACCAAACTGACCATTTCTTCGTCTGCAGCTAACAGATTATATCAAACACACAGAGAGCCTGCACTAAATTATCTAAAGGATAAATTACTTGCTTATGTGTTTTGACAAACCTTTACACAACCTTTAAAAACGACCTTCAGTCTTATCCACCAGATGAAATTGAAAGAGATACTGTCACACACATGGACGGAGCTGACTGTGGTCAGTGACATCATGGGACAGAAGCTCTTCCTCATTCAAAATGACTCACTGACGTTTGAGCCACTCACGGTTTTAAACACGGTTTACTAATGTCCCATGACCACAACTTTATTTAAATTGTTGGTGATCGCTTAAGTTTTGTAAGAGAAGTTCATACTGAGGAAAGCAAGGTTCAAGGAAGTATCAACTGAGATGGCACCTTTGATGTTTAAAGACGCTTTCTGGGTAAGTTTGCTTTTGAGGTCTTGTGCTTTGCTGAAGTTGTCAGAAACTGAAAGATCACTGGTATCTTTACTGTCATACAGTATTCTATCTAAGGGTTTTTTATGTAAAATTCATGTGGTAAGTAAAATTACAATCTCATTTATTCAATACAGATAATCTTAAGTATCTGAAAAAAAAAAACACTTGTAATGGCTCTGGTAAGCTGTACACTATACCTTAACCAGTCATCTCCAGTCAACCCACACTTACATAATACTGAAACTTTGAACAACAATATATATAGACCAGTAATGTGTCTGCATGACTCCAAATTGTAGAACAAAATTTGACATTAATTTGAATGTACCTGTTTGGTTTTTAGGTCTGGCAATTTTGTATCACTTAACTTAGAAAGTATTGGTGAGTTGTACAGTTCATAAATCCCACTACTAGTCAAAGTCAAACCGCCACTTGCCTTTTCCCTTATTTGACGAACTACTCTACTAAGAGGCAGTTTGATGAAGTACTTATGTTGCCATGTCATACAGTACTATTTCTGCTCAGTGCTAGTTCTGCATTTTTTACCACATAGTGAGTGCCGGATTGACTCAAGGACATGTTGCAATAGTTGTTGAGCAATGCCGTTGATTGCAGTATTCTCTGTTTTTCTTCTCAATACAGGGGTCCGAATTCACTTGTCATGCCGGGTATGACACTGTGATCCAAAGGTTACGGGATGGAAGGCAAATGTGCAAAGATGTGGAGGAGCTTTTAAAGATGAGGTAGCGTCAGCCTTCAGCAGCTGAAACAAACTTAGGGATTTGGAAAATTCAGTGATTGTAGTGTAATTAATAGTGTAATTAAAGTCATGACACATGATGAATATAAAAGTAAATATACCTTTTTTCAGCAATGGCCAGTTCACCACAGAATGACAAAACCACTGTATTACAACATTATTATAACAGTATTATAACATTAGTTTAAATTGTACCACTCAGCAATCTAAGGCTTGGATTGTAATATTTTTAAATGAACTTCCTAAAGAAATATTGAATTCCTAGTGATCATTTAGTTGAAAAGTATGTGACAGTTTAACAGATTAACAGTTTAGCTGATTTCCTTCTTGTGAGGCAAAAATACATGCACCACCGACACTGATTACCTAGACCTAGTGTACCTTGTACATTTACTCAAGTACAATTTCGACATTCTTTTTACTTCTTTTTACTTCATTTTACTTTTACTTAAGTAAAGGACCTTCAGTATTTCTTCCACCACTGTACCTAGATAAAGAACATATAGTAAATGATAATAGCAGATTCTGATATAAGGTAAACCTTAAGATGTAACCTCACAAACAAACAGCACATTAAATGTTAAATGGTGACACTCTGGCTTAAAGGTGAGAGTTATGCAAATAAACAAAGCCTCTTAAGCTTCCATCTTAACCGGGTGAGAGGTGCAAAAGATGGTATCTGCATATAAAAACAAAACACAGTGGTACATATTGTGTCCTTTTTGTTGGGACATATATCATAGCTCAGTTTTACAACTAAATACTAAAACACAAACGCTGGGTGTCTGTTCATTACTGCACAGGGCATTAGCAGAGGAGAAGTATGGAAAGGAACTGGTGACTATTGCTCGCAAAGCTGGAGGACACATAGAGATCAGGTAAATACATCTATTGGCATTCAGAGTCTGAAAGCTACGAGGTTAATATTTTGTATTGTACAAACATACTGTGCCCTGGGTATAATAAATATAACATTAAACTCCAGTTGGTATTCATTTTGTTGGAAGACCATGTGATGAGTTTAAAATAGAATAGTTAAAACTAAAATAAAATAAAACACCAGTATGGCACCTATGAGTCATTCTTTTTAAAGGAAACATACTTTCCTGTGTCTGTGAGATTCTGTGCGTATGTGTGTGTGTCTCAGTATACAGGAGGTCATTTTCTGTTGCCAGTTTCCTGTTCTCTGGTAAAAAAAAAAAAACAATGAGCCACAATACCCTCTTTCAGAAAATGCCAGTGAGGTAGTAAAGTGACCTTGGCATTTTGTAGTTTGACTGCTCTGTTGTAGCTGCTTAGTAACCTGCAGTCAAGTTGTACTGAGCTTCTTTGTGACTGTGTTCCTAAAAAGGAATAGAAAGAAACACCTGATTCTAGGCAGTGTTGGGTGGTAAATCTTTGTTTTAAGTTTGCAAAGATAATCTGCCTATTTGTGACCTACAAAAAACTGCACATGGTCACTAAACTAACTCTGATCTTGAACGTGCATTGTTTTTCCAGCACCTTGAGAGCATCCTTTGAACAACTAAAAACACGTAAGTCCTTGCAGTCAGTTGGAACATGAATGAATTAAACATGAATCCAACCAAAGTGTCAAATTATTTTTAATTTATTTTTTTAATTTTGGTGTATCACTGGGTTTTTTTTTGGCTGCAGAAATCGAGAACATCGGGAACTTTCACATCCAGCTCTCTGATATATTGAAAGAGGAGGTGAAAAAGATTGAGACATTCAGAGAACGGCAGAAAGAGCAGAGGAAGAAGGTACTGTGCAATTTATGTTGCTTAACAACTGACTTATTGTAAATAAATATGGAGGTGGGGCTTGACTGAACATGAGGTTTGATAGCTTACTCTAGTTTGAGGCACAGGATTCTTCTCTACCTGTCTGCAGATTGTACAGGTGCACCTGTTTAATGACTTTAATGCAATACAGTCTTATCTGTATGTTCAGTCTTGGTGACAGTGAATTGTACAAATGTTGACTCAACTATATGGTCATTTAAATCCTGTTGCAGGTAATAACTATTCCCAAAGCTAAGTAATGGCCAAGTAATAGTTGGACGACTAAAATCCCTACAATATTCTAGTCATTAGTAAAGGTTGCAGCATATTTCAGCATATCCATGGTTCTGTTTGTTTCAACTTTAGTTTCTACAGCCTATAAGAAACTGTGGGTCTCAAAAGGATATACAACATCAAGAAAACATTATGAAATCTGTTCATTTGGAACTTTCTGTTTCTACTTATAGTTTCAAAGCATCATGGAGAAGGTACAGAAGAAAAAGGTTTCTCTGTACAAGAAGACCTTGGAGGTAGGAAAACAGCCCAGCTGATGTTATTTAATCTAATGGCATACTGACCATGGCCTCCAATGGTATGAACAGCAAACACTACATTGCTCTTCCTGTCCTCGGTGCAACTCTGTAGCTTCTGTGGTTTCTGTTTCTGTTTGTCACAGTCTAAGAAGAACTACGAGCTGAAGTGCAGGGAGGCGGACGAGGCAGAACAGGGAGCTGAGAAGACTGTTACATTAAAAAACGCAGACAAGGTGCAATAAGTAAATGAGCTACCCCACTATTAAAATTAATGTCAGACTGGTCTGTGGTTTAAAGGTATTCAAATACTAACTTTAAATGAATTTAATTTAGAACTTTGTCTTTGCAACCCATTGCACTGCAAAAATGACCATCACCTCAGTTCTGTTCTTAAACCACACATTTTCAGTTGATAGCTGGGAAACATTAGTGGTGTGAATTTTCTGCGCTTTTCTGACTATTTTATGTCTAGCAAGGAGGAACTGAAGAACGTTCATTTACATTTACATGTAGCATTTCCCCAAATGAAAAGGGGGGAAAGGTGCATAACATTTCCGACATTTCTAACATGTTTTGGCCTCTCAGTGACATGATGATGAGATCTTAATGTGATGAAGTCTCTACAGTTTGTGATCTTGCATGCATGTCGCTTCCTGTGTAATATTTATTTCACAGGTTCGTCACAGGGCCAAGCAATGCAGACAGGCCGCCAAAGATGCAGGTATCACCCAGAATCACGTTTCATCTCTATCATTTCTATTTTTAACCTGCGTACCTTTCTATTTTAGCGTATTTGTGACATTTCTCAACACAGCTACCACTGATTGTCAACGTTTCGAGAATACTTTATGCAAAGTATTGCAGTGTATCTTGAATGAGACCGGAGAAAGTTTTACATATTACATGTGTTCATTGCTGGGTTTTCTTTCTAATTATAACCATCTACAATGACACTCTCTCTCACAGAGAAGCTGTACCAAACCAATGTTGTTCAGCTAGAAAGTGTTCGCCAGGACTATGAAGAAACACACAAAAGCACATGTGAGGTACCGTGTTCCTGTTACCTGCCCTGCTCTGTACCATATTAACAACAAAACAGGGACTTCAAACTACAGACACTTCGCATCCTCTCGCAATGCCCTCCTACCACTAACCAAAGGAAACGTATTTTGTCTTATATAGAGCATGTATAAAAATGGAACATCAAAGTCACAATCATGCAGTAACTTTATCATAGTCATATCAAGTTAAGTTCCGTTACAAGTTTTTACATGGTCAATTACAATTGGCATGTCAGCTCGTGCTCACATTCAGATGATACAGTCAGTGTGTAGTAATGCAGTATAACATGTTTAAGTGTGAGGGAAAACAAAGATAGAGAAAAGAATCAAGTCTCTACAGATATTAAGTTACTGATATTAGTTGACAATAGAAACCAGTGGTGTGTATGTTTCTCAGGTGTTCCAGCAACTGGAGGGAGATCGCATCAGCATGCTCAGGTATGCTCTCTGGGATCACTGCAATCATTTCTCCATGCAGTGTGTCAAAGATGATGAGGTGAGCTTACTTTTTCTTTATATATGAATTATTTCTCAATTAAATGCTTGGTTTCAGGTATAGGTTAAAAACGTATGTACAAATAAGATTTTGTAGCAATTTATCACCACACAAGTAAGTTTGGCTAGAGCACTATTTGGGTTTTTATTGAAGTTTTGGCCAAATTTTAGTCCAATGACTTTAGACACAAACAATCCGCACACCTTTTTCACAAGGCAGGTGTGTAGGAGTGGGATGAGTATCCAAAAGTAGAAAAGATAAATTCCTGCATACTGTCTGCAACGTTCTGGTAGTAGACCTTCATCATTTTTTGCAAGAGCAAACTGCACATTCTGCCACCTGTTCTGTGGATGGTTTACCCAAAGCACCCTAAAACATGCCAATTTTCTTTCTCATTCATTTTTAGCATGGATTACTGCACTTGAAATGAAAGTCTCTAACCACAGAATGTATGTGTGCATAGTTGAAATGTTGAGTACATACGGGAACAGTGCACAGCTCTGATTTCAAAGAAATTGCCTCCTGTTTTCAAAACAGTTTTACGAGGAAGTGAGGAAGGTACTGGAACAGTGTGACATCACGACAGACAACAACTGTTTCATAGAGATGAAAGGCACGGGAACGAGGCCTCCAGGTGAGCTGTCATTGTGGACCAGGCATTTGGCATAATCAGATACTACTACATAATAGGATATAATACTGCTACTCAACATTTCCTTGAGCAAAAACTACAAACTTGAGAAGTGAGAAAAGCGCTGTTACAAATGAACTGGATTTAGAGAGCTACTCCACTTTTAATGCTGGACACGCAGGCGGAAAGCAACACTTGATCTCACTTCTCAAATGAGCAGCTTCCCTTTTCCCCTTACAGAGCCCATACAGTTTGAGAGCTGCTACCAGACTGAGATGTCAGGGGACAGCAATGGCCAAGCTCATTTCGCAGGAGGAGATGACATGATGAGGAGGTCTGACACAATCCACCTTTGAAGGAGGAAGCAGGAGGAGACAGCATTGTTACTGTACAAACTACCAGAGTTATTAATACATGAATACTGCCAGGTTGTTGTGGCAGTTAGAAAATGCTGGCTTCTCTTGCTCATCTTTCTTCAGTACCTTCTTTTTCTTTTGACCACTACAAAAAAACAAATATGAAAGAATCATATTAGAATCAAATGTGTTGCTGGTATTTAGACCTATTTCAGAACATTTCTGGAAGCCACTATATATATCCTAAATATCTCTCCTGACCTGTATCACTCAGGTGCTCTGATCTCTTACTCCCAAGTTCTGTGAGCGTCAGTGTGGAAAGTCTGCAAAACTCACAATCAGCATTGACATCTATTGGCGGGTGTAAGTACTGCATTCACTCGTTCAATCTTTCTTACACTTTAAGGGGTGTAATGAACATTTTAGCATTTCAGCTTATTTAGGCTCCTAGTGGATCTTTTTTCTTATTGGAATAAGAATTCACATACTTAAAATTGTGTTTGCATAATCTTATACTTGACCTTTTGGCAACCACAATAGTAAACAAGAGATTTAAGTGCTCTAGACATGTTTAAATAAATTTATAGTAATGATATAGTCATTATAACTGAACTGAATGAAATAAAAGTATACAAAATGAGGGTCAAACATCTTATCTTTTCATCATCATTATTATTCAACCAACCATCCTTTATGGGATCCATTGTTTTGTAACAATAAATAAATGTCTGAAACATCACTTACAATTCCATATTTTAGTTGAATTAAATTTACTTTTTTCTTTGATCTCTGTAGTCTTTTTCTCAAAGAAGTTAACATTTTGTATTTGCAATTGCCTGCGATCATTCTAGCTTCAGCTGAGATTTCCGATGGAGGATATGCACCCCTATTAGGCCTCCGGTATGCAGCGTCAGTGGCCACAGTTCCATCTGATGAAAACAGCTACATTGCACTTTATGAATACGCTGCACAGGTGATCACTATGAATACAGTCTTATAATTTAAATGTATTACATTTTAGTTTTACAATACTAAGAAAGGGTTGTCAATAGTATGTTAACAAAGTAATTTACAGATTTAAGTGAGAGAGGCTTGTTGATGTCACCCATCTGTGACTAAAATGTGTCATCTTTGTTCATGTTGACTGGTCAGGCACCAGATGAATTGTCTATCAGTAGAGGGGACGTGCTCCGAGTGATGGAACAAGGAGAAGATGGCTGGTGGATGGTGGAGAAGAACGGGCTGAGTGGACTGGTACCAGGAAACTATCTGGGCAAAGTCTGAACACACACGCACACACAAACAATACAATACAGACAAATACACACAAGAATGACAACACACATACTCACACACACCGAAACACATGCATGTGCATATGCTTAAAAATACAGGCAAGTATGCATCCTGTATCAGACTTGTAAAGACACATCATCACCTTAAACACACACTCTCTCTCTCTCTCACACACACAGCACCGTCAGGCTTTCTATACAATGCAACAGTCAAACTGATGTTCAAACTTGTTCAACCTAATTTAAAAATCTAGTGTCCTTTAGGTTGTAGTTTAGGTTATTTGAGCAATTTACAAACGTTATGAGAGGTTTTCATTTACAGAGTAAAACTCTTCAAAAGGATTTCTGAATTGATCAGGGGAAATAATATTTATTAAAGACCAATTGTAACCCTGCTACCTCATACGTTGTACAGCGGTCATTCTTTATGTACATACAGTACTCTCTCATTGGACTGAAGAATGATTTGGTGTTGCAGATTTGGATAGAGTGTAGAATGGCTTCCAATTACATTTCTCATCAATATGTAATATTTTCAACATTTGTGTCTGCTGCTACTGTAATAGTAGAACTAGTATTGTACTAGTGAAAGCTAGGTTCTGCATTACTGAATTCCAGATCATCAGATCACAGATCACAATTGCTAAGAAAATGTAACTGGATTGGTTGACTTAAGCCCTGTATTTGCTGTGATAAATCAAGAGTTACATGTGTATGGTGTAAGCCATTTTGTAGATGAGTACCTATCTCTACAACAGAGGTAATAAGTGTCAGAAATGGCCTTGGACTGTTGCTCTTCCTAAGTTCTTATAAATTATATGCCATGTGTAAATCAGGAGTGTAACTGTGTATTAGGATGATCCAATAATTTACCTGAAATAAGATGTATGTTGAATTAGCTTGTGGTTTGTATTTTTCTCTCAGGTTCTGTATGTGTCATTTCCTTTATGTTTTTGTAAGTGTTTACTGGGGAAGATAAAAGATATATCTGCTGTCCATACAGTGTTTCATGTGACTTCTGGATAGAAGTCCTACCACTAACGTGGTAGGAGCTAGTGGAGATCAAAATAGACAAATCACATATCTGTCAACCGATGGAACATTTGTTTATATCAAAATGTTTCATGTGACTGATTTATATTCATATCAAATAATTTATGTATTATATGTATGCTTTAACTGGTAACGTATTGACTTGGGTAATGTTAATTAAACAGTCGCATTGAAATGTATGAGTTTATTTGTCTCCTGCCTGATTTCCAGTCTATGCGCAATGTTTCTTTTTCGGTGGCACTAGCTAAATATCTAGGGGTCAACATAACAGCTCAAAAATATTTAAACAGTGCACAATTTCACAAAAATGTAGAAAATAATGTGTCATGATTTTTTTTATAGCGGGTTTATAGCTAACAAACTAAACAGGAGAAATTGTCTGACTGTAACAAAACGATTCTACACATACACAAGTCTTCAGGTAACACTGATAATACTCCTAATAGCACTGGAGACTAAAAGGTTAATTGACAATTTATGTATTGGCATTGGCTCATTAATGAAGCCTATTGAAAGAACATCCACACCAAAACAGAATGTACATTATTCACAGCCTGAATATTTGTGAATATGAAGAAGTCTTTCTACCAAACATGGCTTTGAGAGACAAAACACAGAGCTGCTCCACAAACTAAAATGTAGACGGAGATAAAAACAGTGAATCTGTTCTGTCTATGGTAAAAATGTTTTTTCATTTTCACAAAGTCTGGTCAAATCAAGTTCTTAAGAATAATGTACATATTATTTTTAGCATAGATTTTTTTCATTTAAACAACCATGAAATATCTCCAGAGCTCCAGTCCTAGTGCAAACTAGCACAGAAAGAAATACATTCCAATACTCCTGACCATAATTTCACACATGCTGCAAATTTCTTCTCATCATCCTCACTGGAGATGAGCCCAAATTTTATGAAGCCACAATTAAAAAGGAGAAAAAAAAACTGCATCAACATCAATAATTTCAATTCGCCAAAAAACTTTGGCTTCTGTAAATATTTCAGTATTTGTAAGAGAAAAAACAGTAAAGTAACAGTAACTTACAAAGCATGTCAATAAATAACTGGTTTCCCCCTTGAAGCCCTCACCCAAACCACATCTTCAGTGTTTGCTACTTTATCATGAATTGTGCAAGGTGTGCTTGAGCTTATATAACTACAGCTGAAATCTACTGTGGACATGTCCGGTGACGCTCCTTTTGATTTTCTGAGTGCTTTGTTTGAGTGGCTGCGTCCTTCATGCATAGCTGTTGGTTGTGACTAGCAGCTCATACGCTGGGTCATGACTCCTCCTGCACAGCACCACGCAGGCACAGAGCATGCCCAGCATCTGCAAGCAAAAAGCAAGGAAATGGGGAAAGAAAGCTGTTATTTGAGTCCCTAATAACGTTAGTGTAATCAAAAAGCAAGAACAAAACAGTTATTTTCCAATTCCAATCAAATATCCTAAACGTGTGGATCAATCTGTTTTTGTCACTATGCTACTATGGGGCAATCACACTGTATAAGCAAATGATGTTAAACCTCAAACATACATGACAGATGGTGTGTTATAATGAGTATGTTTGAGTGTAACATTAAGTGATCGGCCATGCTGTCTTTGTCACTGCTTTGGGAGCAGGGTTTCCTAGTCAGCAGCGACCATGCTGAGTTGTTCAACACAGTAGAGATTCTTTGACACAATTAGGTCAGAGCTGCCGTTTGTGCAGGCAGAGATTATTGCAGCTTTAATTATGCTCCCAATAAACAGGCTTTTGACTTGATTTAAATATAGTTATATAATAAGAATATTTTTGCAGTGAGGCAGCAGTTTCTTGTGGATTAATCAAACTCAGTGTTAACTACTTTTACTGGCTGCAGTCTGTGTTTCTACAATAGCCCAGAACAGACAAACCAAACACTGACTGTAGATAGGGCTTTTCACATTTTGTTTGCGGGTTTCACAGCCACCGTAGTACATACTGCTAAAATTTTCACACCATTTTTGTCACGACAGGCCATGGTAATGAACTGTCAACTGTAAGATTACTTATAGCTGATGTTGTGAGAAAATGTCCATTGAACCATAAATGATGTGCATACACAACTACAGTAAACAGCAGTAGGTCCGAAAGAAACCAGGAAATAGCTCTGCAAATCTAATAGCCATCTACAACAGATCATTTTGGTTTTTGTTTCAATGTTTACCTTTGTATTCACTTCCAAATAAGTGGCTTGGATTCCTGACCGCTCATGTTGCTTGCACTGATCGACTCCACTAAAAACACATATTTGTTCTATTTACGCTGCTGATAATGTCACTTTTCAATCTTTGTCCTCCTTACCTGTATAGATGCAAAAGTGAGTGCAGCCCATATGACATACATCATGATCTCCTTTAACTTCTTCACAACAAGAGCTTCACAACCCTAAGGCAGAAAATAAATGACATTAAAAGAGTTTAAAAGGCATAACAACCACTCCTAATCCACAGGTAAAAATCTCAGAGAACCTTTTGAAATGTTACGTCTCTTTGGGCCACAAAAAAAGAAAAAGATGAATCGATAACTTAAACTTTGTTCTGTGGTTTTAGCCAGTGTTAGCACTTGAGCATACCTCTTGGTAGAGGTCTGCTGGTCGAGTGAGAGTGCCGGTACAGTTACTGATGCTGGGCTGACAGCAGCTGACTGGGACACTGTTGTTCTTTGATTCTTTAAACCAGCGTGTGTTCCTCCAGTCAGAGTAGTTGTGAATGCCGCAGCAGTGAAGCTAACAGGAGAATAGAGAAGAACGCGAGGAAAAATCTGCAGAGTCTGCAGTTAAGAGTACAATTTGAAATTCAAAATCAAAAAAAAAAAAGACTTTTCTTCTCACCTGCCTCTGCACATAGTCAATAGCACGGCTGGGAGCATCAGTGTTAGTGCCATTGTATTCGTTGTAAACCTTCTGGATGGAGTGATTCACTTCATCTTCTACCTGAAACAAGGACACAGCAGCTGTTACTATCCCTGTTCAGTGACTACACCTTTTTATCTGTTATCTCTAAAGGGACTGTTTTTACATTATCATAAAAATGTATTTACAACGTAGTCCCGTAGGCAACACTCTTAGGAACATAGGAAACACATTTACACACATACAAATTAATATTAATTAATTGCAGCAAAGGAAATTTTGAGACAATATTTGTATGCATCATGTCAACTCTATAAACTATATCCATCACATCTTCCACCTGGAGCAAACACATTAAAGCAGATGCACAAAATACAATATCACAAAATATATATTTGCAAAATGTAAGATCATCTGACTATAAATCTCCTATATTGTACAAGATAAAGGGATGATCAGCTTTTACAGAATACTTATTTAGTGACAAAGAGACAGTGTTTACCTTTGCCCTGTATATGTAGCCAAGCACCACCACCACACACTCTGTTACAAATACCAGCAGGAGGATGGCAGCAAACTGAAATGACAACAAAGATACATTGTTTAGAGGCGCACTAGTAGGGTAAGTTAGAAATAAAATGACTTTCAGTGCCAGTGACTGAACATTTTCCGAAATCTTATGCTGTTTATTCTGTTGCATGTATATTCCTCCTCAAAGTAGTCTACACTCACAGTTGCCAGACCACAAGAGCTTTCACGTATTGTTGCACAGCAGCCAATCAGGCCGATGATGAAGAGAAGAGTCCCAACTGCTATTATTATGATAGCAGGAATCAAAGTGTACACGTCTTCAAAGAAGTGATCATAGTCGTCATATGTGATGAACACATAGGCTCCAATGTAGCATAAAATTCCAGCTGCAGCCTGCAGAGAGAAACAGAATAGACAGGAGTCAGAAACAAAGAAAGAGAATCTGCCTCCTATATTTATGCTTTTTCATTCTATATGTATCTGTTTTCTTCTATGGGTTTAACATGATAATTGTTAAACTATTTGTGATAATGCATATTCTTTCTTCTATTTAGTTTCACATTATTTGCTTTTCATTCTTATAATATACTTTGTAGTACATTGATTCAGTTGGGTAGTGCATCATAGTGTATGCTGTATGTATGTGCACACAGCTGTGTACAATACTGTATATACTGCAGTTTTGTGTACTGTAGGATTTTGAAAAAACAACAAAAAAGGGATTTTGTAACATTCAAAATGATTATACTTGCATTGTAAACCAGCCTGTTTTATCAATACTTTATTTAACTATATCCATGCTAATAAAGTAAATCTGAGTATAAAGGTAGAAGATAAAGAACTTGGTAACCATATATTTTTAGAAACTGATGCCCAATTCCTTACATTAACAAAGACACATTTCAAAGACAAAGATTATTCATTATTCAGACATCCTGGGGACACATTGTCTATTATAAGATAAACCATTTAGAGCTCTGTTCGTCTTTCCAATTATTGTTTATCTTAATGCAAGCCAGTTAATGTGTTAGTTTAATGATACAGTCTCAGACAGCACTGCAGGTTAACCCAGCAGCAGCTTCAGCACCTGCCAGCTGCTGCTGCATAACGTCATGGCTACAACTTGTGGGCGGCAGCTACCGACAGACACCCTGTGGCTACCGACACACACATTTTAGTTTCTCCATTTAGTGCCCTCGACAAAAGCGACTGTGACCGTGAATATCTCGCTCAAAAAAGCAGCTCGTCTTTCGCCGAAGCGCGGACTGGTACGTATCTCTGGCGCAGTTCGCTAGCGTGCTAATGCTGTCCATCCCTGGCCTCACTGGGATGCAGCACATTGTTCAAACATCAATGTCGTTCTCTTACCCAGAATATGAGATTGAGAAAAACCAAAACGGTTTTGGATGAAGTAATCCCGCACTGCCCCATGGTGTCGTTAGCTCTAAAATTAAAACTGTAACTATAAAAAAAAAAAATACTGATGCACCTGCACCTTTGCTGTTATAATAATAAAATGGCTCCGGTGGTCCTGCCCCGTTGTGCAGATTCTTCTGGGCTCGACCAATGAAATGGCCGCAAAAAAATAAAAAAACATGATCACGTGCTCTAATGGCGTCACCATTCAAAACAAACAGTGTGATGGAGGACTTCTGAGCACGGAGCCCTGCAACAATGTAACATACATTACATTATACATACAGTGCAGCGAGTGTATCCAGTGGTAATTTGTAAATGACTTTATTATTTATAACAGTTAGTCAATGCAAAATCCTCGCTTTGTTCCACAGACCATCATATATCTTGTACACCACAGAACGAATGTAAATGAATACACTGGGATACAATGTGCCATAAGCAATGAGATGAATGTGGTCAAAGTACATTTGGTGCTGTTGGTGATGATCTCTTGAAACTGGTTGAAAGATTCGTTTCAGTGTTTTATCATTTTTTCTGCGGTTATGGCGCCCCTCCTTTAAACACATAATGTAAGCCTGTTAAAAAAAAACATACCAGCAGCATCAGCATTGAGATGTGTTCCTGTTTAGTATGGGGGTTTATGCCAGAGGGTGGCAGTGTAGCATTGCTAGTTTTACACTTCCACTGGCATACAATGTGCAAGAGGAAGATGTGTCAGGTGAAAACAGTTAACACCCCCCAACCATATGCTGACTATATGCATTTTTCAAATCTTAAGTCTCAGACTGGAATTAAGTAATAATATATGCACTTCACCCACATAGTCCCTTGGCAAAAATATATGAATGTAAGAGACACATGTGATATGCCCCTATTTTATTTAAACCTATGAGACTTGTTTGTCTCCTATGGTGGCAGGATTGATTACTCAGTTGAAAATGAGTGCCTTAAAGCCTTCATTTTATTGAGTTAAAACTTGCCATATTTGTCTCTGTCAGCTTTTGGTGTTCAAACCGAGCAAGACTGAGCACTTACAAATTCAAGAAGAATCCAAGGCTACTACTGTTGACACAACATACATCCACATTGTGAATTATGCAACAAGGCTTGCTGTTGGCTAGAAATTGAGTCATTATTAAAACAGAACAATACAAAACAAAGAAACAAGCAGATATGCAGGGAGATAAAGACTGGATATCAAAAGTCCCAGTGGCATAAACATACAGTACGACTATGACTTTGGTTTATATGCTCCCAACCGGTTACCTTCCACCAAATACGTCAGCGGCTGTGTTAAAGTTTGTACATAGCCTATGAAAATCACAGCTTTCGACACCATATGCTATGAAAAGTTGTTTGGTTAATATCATGGTACATAGTCCAGAGTATGGTTTCACTTGTTGGTTTTAGTTAATGAAAAAGCTGAAGTGTTTGGTTGAGTTTACACATTTTGCTCCTCTTTTACATGCCAAATGAAAAACATGACATTTATTTTTATATGAGTTCAAATTTCTTTTATTCAGTTCAATGTGGTGACAAAACTGAAAATCTATCATAAATTGGCATAACCAAGACAAGAGATTCCTATTTGTATGGTAAATTGAGTGATTTGCCCTTACATGACATGTGAAACCCATTTACAACCAAAGCTTTAATTAGTGAACAACAAAGCTGTCCAAGGAACACCCTCATGGAAACAAATGAAATCCCGTAAATCTTGTTTTAGCAAATTACTGATCAAATTTGTCACACAGCAGGAGGCAATGATTTGGATGACATTGAATCTACTAAAACATTAGAAGACTTAAATCCTAAAAAAGCCAGATGGCCAATATCAGTGTCACTGATGTAAGAAAATAAAAACACCAATATTAAATCTAATTCAACCTATTCAAAATGAAGAAATCTATACACTTGCTAACGTCTATGGTGTCTGATGAATGGTTTTATTTAGCGTAATTTGGTGTAACTAATTCCCCCATGCTGAATATAACCGATTTAGTTCTCATGGTCTTCTGTTGTATTGCTGTATGTTGATTGGAATTACTTGATTTGCCCAACTTGCTACTATATGCTATATACTACACACACATGAACATTTCATTAGATTTATTTGAAATCCCATCACAGCAAAAGGTTTAGTGTTCCCTTAAATGACCATTCATAAATACCAAATTGTAGCCATTACCAATATTGGGTAATTATTGGATAGAATTCATTGTATTGGCAATATACTAAAAGTTGGTTGCATCTTTTTGATATTATTTTTCACATTTCACACCTCAAAGCCTCAAAGATTAAACTCTTAATCTAACTCAGCTGTCTGAGATTTATTTTGGGGAATACATTATAATGACTTTCACCACCAACAAAACAAAAAAAAAGAAATTAATAAAATCATATCAGTGCAGGGATAGGATTTTCTTTTCCAGGAATTAAAATTTACAATGGTCTTGTCTTTGGCAAGGATCAGCTCTCCTGTGAATTTAAAGACGCAGAGCTGTTAATTTGTGTAGGTCGAAAAAACAAAGAATTATTAGATACATCTGAGCATAATCTGAGCATAAAGGACGCATTTACTGTATGTGAGCAAAAATTCAAAGTAAACAGAGAGCGCAGTGATGCTAAATTGAATCTCTCATTCCCTCAGCAGTGAGGAAGAATATGTCATGGGAGATCTGCACGCTCAAATTGTGTGGAGACATCGCCTTCCTCAGCAGTTAACACTCTGCAACATGTTTGGATCTGCAATTTTAAACCATGGGAGGACAGTTATTCTCTCATACACACACACATACACACACATTAATAATTATTGTAGCAACACATTGAGTGCATTTTTTTAACATGCAGTGGCCTGACATTTCAAATTAATTAAAGATACAGTGTTTGAAGATTAAATTTCTCTTCAACATTCAAATACAGACTGCACCTGTGTCAGCTATCAGTAAAAAATAATAAGCTATGGATGACCCATTACTATACAATATATTGTCCTGAATTTTAGTTCTTAAAAAAATTCATTGCAAAGACTGAAGAACAGTTTTTTCCAAATTTTAACAAAAAGGAACACACTTTTATAAGCTATTTACTCTCGTCATCAAAGTTTTGAATGCGAGTTTGACTGCTTTTCTTCAGGCACTTAAAAATTTCCTGTAACCTATTGAGCAGGCTTATTTTTTCCAATTTTGTAACCAATTTTCCAGCCTACTAACCTACTTATGTACAATGTTCTGCACCTTTCTGGATCTCAGTGTTGTTTGGCAAAAATAATGATAGCTTAAAACGTGTGTTTATGGAGAAAAAAACAAAACATCTTTGTCCTCCTTATTTATTGAGAGCATACAGGTACACCTTGCAGTCCATTACAACAGGATGAAGTTGTCACCTATTTGGGGTAACTGTGATGACCTCAATAAGGGTAGACAAAATATTAGAAACACCTCTCAGTATAGCAATACAATTCAACAGCAACACAAAGGACCATAAAGTTGAATCAACACAAACTGAACATTATAACCTCCATTAGAGGAGGTTTTATGGCAGGACTGTTGTTTTAGATTACATAAGTTTTGGTTCGCTGTATCTCATAAACTGACAACTGTGTGTGTTCTTTATTCAAAGTGCAATCTTTTTTATGAGTCACTTATTGGGCCAAAATTGTGGCGTTAACCAGATAGACTGATACAACTCTCATCTGTCTCACCTGAACAGTGGATTCTATATTTCCTCCCACCACTCACTACTTTGGACAGGGAGCATATTCCTTACCATGAAAATGACATAAAACAACAGGCAGGGCATTGTGGGAGAGATATTGACATACCCTAACCATTACCTACAAAAGATTAGCCCAAGGCAAAGAATGGGCCATCTCACTTCACCGCTATTGATTGAGAGAACAGATCATCCCTTTATGCAAAGGACCGGAAAAACACGAAAGATAATATTGAGTTCATGTAAAAATATTCAGGAAACTAGAATATGTGATTTATATAAGCTGCCTACTTTTGTATTTATATAAGTGTTATTTTAGAAAATACCTTTAGCACAAAAGCGGGGGAAAAAATCTTACTCATGCTGAACAATCAGATGTTAGTGTTGGGCCTATAAATAAGGTCTGTGAAGGTTACATGTAGCAGACCCCTGTAGAGGAAAGCAGAAAGGGGCAAACTCAGTAGTAAGGTTTTCAAACTGTAGCCTAAAGCCTGGACCAACATATAATTTGAATTAGAAAAACTTTTCTGTCCCCTGTTTATTTTATGATATATAGATTTATAAACATATATTTTATTTTAAATAAAAGCAAAAAATTAGTCACATTTCTCACTAAAGGGCCGTCAAGACATTGCCATGTTCAATTCTCTTTCCTGTGTTGTCCATTCAGTGGCATATCAGCCATAATGAAGTGATCAGTATTTCCGTATATATATCAGTATGTGTGCTGATGTTAACTGGGACATGATCTCAGAAAATCCAACCATGATCTATCAAAATGCCATAATTGATCCGCCAAAGTCACAGCAGTGCAAATAATTATTTTATTTAATATAAATAACTTTGAACAACAAGACAATGTGAAATATCATCATCAAAACAAAAAAAAACCATACGTGTATTGCAAATGGCACATGAGCTGTATGCTAAGTATAACAGTTACAGTAAATTACAATCATGATGAGCAGGAGACTGTAGACTGTGTCTAATTTATTTATTATAACCCATGAAGCCAGATGACCCGGAATCCGTGTTCATGCGTGCCAGACTTCGATCCTCTCTGTATCACTTTCTGCTTTGGATGTAGCTTTCTAAAATCTTCATCAACAAGTCCCCCTCCTGAAACAGAGTACACATCCAAGTCAGTCACAAAATCTATAATTTCAGTCATTTCAGGTCGTAAAAAAACGTTTGACGATTGAACATCAGAGGTACTCACCTGATGTTTCGAGCGGCTCTCTTGTGTATCCACCTGCGCCTGCAACGCCATTCGCAGGAACTCTTGGAAAAGCTCCCCGAGAGCGCTCTGCTCCGCAGGCAAGGTGACTTCCAGCGCATCAACACCCTGCCCCTCAGCTGAAGGCAGCAGAGGGGTATCCATCACGCTCTTCTTGCC